CCAGACCGGTGATAAAGGGACTGTGAGCTAGGCAATAGTTGTTTTAGCATTAAAGGTCACTGTTGTTTCACCTGATTTTTTTATGAGCAAATTACAAATAAAAGTGCTTGGGGTACATTTTGCCACAGAAGCCATATTCCATGTTCACTACTACAAGGCATTATAACAATTTAATGCACTATGATAGTATCTACCAGGCCCAGTTGAGCATCAAGATTACAACAAAGTCATATCCATTAGTGAATGTATTATGATCTTAGCCAGTGGCTTTGGCTTCCTGACTGAGTCTGTGGCACACTTGACCAGAATATAAATCAACCCAATTATTGGTGGTCAATACCCAAAATGGATTTGATTTCTATCAATTGAGTCTGATACAACAACCACTTAACTAACTATGATCCAGTAATAGTTACTATACCTGAATATTTCTGGAAACATTATTTGCCAAACCCGCTTTTGTAAATTAGTGTTTCCAGCCACCAGATTACCAAGAAACTGAACGGCACATCGTATTGCTATAACATCCTCACTGTCTTGTAAATGTTTTGAAGTGTAAAAAAGAAGGATTTGCTTCACGACTAGAAGAATATCACAATCCCTGCCAAAGAAAACATCAAATAGAGATGAATGAATATTGTAGTGCTTGTCTTTTAATAACACATCAATCCAATATATTTCCCTCTTGATTCACCTTCATTAATTTTCATATGGACTGAACATATACAGTATAGTTGTATTGCAGAATTTAACCTAAATAGGGCAACCAACAGAAAGCATGCTGTTTGTGAGTTATGCCTGTATGTAGTAATACTTAAGAAATAACTGCCAAAACACAATGCATTGCATCCATTGACAGGATTCTAACTTCATCATGCGCTATAGTGCTTATGTGACCAATGTAAACAAAGGAAAGAGTGGTTAAATATCTGACAACAAAAAAATACATTAAAAACCTGACAACATGTTCAATGTTGGTGACAAAATTTATGGGAGAATTTAAACATTTTTACAAATGCAGAGACAACTTTTTATGAATAGGTAAATTCTATTGTTTTTGGCGCTATTATTATTATTATTACTCTTTCTTTCAAACTGAATGCATATGTACAAAAAATGACAACAGCAAACCACGGAAAAAATGTAAATAAATAAATCATTTTTTCTATTGTTGCCATAAATTAGATGTCCAAACAAGCCTAGGTCACGAATACAGTTACACAGAGATGCTGCTGAAGTGTTCACAGACATTCAGTAAACTTATAAATAATTAATTTGAGCAGACGCAGTACTAACGTCATTAAAAACTGCCGAATAATTTTTAAAAGGAATTTTTATAGCACACAGTTTATTCACAACCTTCCATAACTACATTACATGCATAGCAACAGATACAAACACTGTCATGATACATACCTTATTAAATCCTGATTTTTTGGGCACTGTACACAGCTGTTTCGTAGAATCCGAAAACATTCTGTGCACCACTGAGTTCTTGATTCATAGTACAACTTTCCTGTTTCTTGTGAGTTATCAGAGTTTACAGTTATTCTCTCAAAACAATGCCCAAGTATCACTTTTATATCATGGAATGCATCAGCTGACATTTCTTTCCTGGCAGAATATACGTTAGTCATTTTATTTTTGAAAGAGTAAAGAGTAAAGACAAACTGCAAACATTTGTAGCAGCAAACACCTCAGTGAGATCTTTGAGTGACAGTTATGTCAGCATGGTTTGTTTCTCTCAAAGAATCAATGCACAAAAATTACACTTTAGGGTGTCTTCATATTTCCCAGCAAAATTTTGATGCACCAATTTGCCTATTTTTTAGTATTTTTCTATATTTGCTTCAATCATTTTAGACCAAATAGACAAAATTTTGGATAAATCTATGAACATTTGTTTTTGCAAATTGGGACGAGAGTTGATTTTGGTGATCAAAGGGTTAAGCATTTTATATTAATTCATTCAGTGCTGCACTCAAGGTTTGAAATTATATGTGTAGTCATGGCAATTTAATACTCAGTATTTTAATATTGGAAGTCAGGTCAAAGGTACTGAATAAGTTTGTTAGCAAAATGATTTGCAACTTTGTAAAACACTTTTGTCTTTGCCCAATCTAGACTTGATTGACATGCGCATGGTTTGGGATTACTGTTTCATAGTTGCAAGTATTATCTAGCTTGCGTATACAGCAACCATTTATTTTTTATATTTATAATGTAATTATTTTTAGTAATTTTGGGTGTTGGGCAAATTGAGTGTTGCTTAAATTTGTCAAACAATGTCAACCCCTCGCCCATTTTAGTCAGTTGTACCTGTTACAAAAATGGACTAGACATAATAACGGTAGTCATACCCTCATCATATTCAAACTGCAGTTGAAAAAAGGATTTGCTCAAGGAAGGCACTTTTGATTTGACAAAGTCCATCAAATTGTTATAATCAAGTTTTCTGTCCGTGTATTCCTGATGTACTCTCCCACCTAGGTATATAATCTGAATTTGATACATAATGCACCAGTATTGTAAAAACAACTTTTAGTTTGGCTCAAAACTGTCGCAAAACTGCATCGCGTCCAATGCTAAGAAACTTTACTTTGAGCCTTCCCGCCAACGACAAGTTCATTAATAACCTGGGGTTACTCAACATTCGGGAGTTGTTTTGTAAATTGTCAGGTCGACTCTGATGGCTATAAGAATTTAAAGTACCACTTTGAATGCATATAAAACATATAACTAGTTAATGTATGGTAACCAACACATGTCGTTTTGAAAACAGCGTTTTACCCGCATCTAGCAAGATAATAGAATGATCCCAAATGTGGGCGTGCGCCATCAAGTCTAGATTGGAAAAGACCCAAGTGTTTTTCAAAGTTCCAAGATATATTGCTAACTGACTGTCCGAATAATTCTCAGAATGGCTGTAATAGGAATTGATGAAAATTAACTACATGCCAATGACTTCTTAATATTTAGGTTTTAACTCTGAGTACGTGGCTGTTGTTGGGGGTGATATATATACAGAATTGTGACTTTATACAACACTGCCACGTGAGTGGTCATTACAATTTTCAAAATCATACGATGTGTTGGCAACCAACACCTGATGTGATATATATCATCACGTATATTGGGCAGTATCTTAACCAAATAATCTGTTTATTTTGTTTTGTTTTTAATTTTACGGTAAAAAATAAGAAAAGACAAAATGTAATAACAGCACGGGTCTGATTATTTGTATGTTACAAGTTGCTAATATATAATGTAAAACTTCTTGAAATAGCTACGTTTCAGCGGATTTGATGCATGCTAGCTAGAGTGCCAATAATATATCCTCTATTTTAAATCAGTAGCAAAATTACAGATTAGCTAAAATAATATGCTTTACTGTAATAATAATAATAATAATAATAACTTTATTGCATCCTTAGAATTACAAATGTTCTATTGGTTTACAGCAATAACACAGTCACTTGGGGGCTGTGATGAACT